AATTACCTTCTCCCTCGGGGTAGCTGGTGAACTCTACCTATCTCTCTCTGCCACTGTAACTCCTTGTTACTGTAGCTCCTCAGAAAGTCAGGGGCTCACTGAAAGAGACAATGACCCCCAAAGAGAAGTAACTGTAACAATGGCCTGTTGGTGTTGTGTACTGTTGAGTCGGAACTGACCCATAACTGACCCTCCAGTGGGTTTTCAGAGACAGTAAATTGCCAGGGAGGAGATTGTCCCATGGAGTAGTTGGTGGATTTGAACTGAGTGCCTTTGGGATTGCAGCACAGTTTCTTACCACTAGGCAACGTGAAAAAATGGGCTAGAGTATGACAAATATCTTGAAGATGGCACAGGATAGGGCAAGGTTCTGATCTGTTGTTCATAGTCAAACAGATGGCACCTAAAACAACAACAAGAACAAACAGGGAAACCAAACAAAGCTCAAGTAAGAGTTTTCCAGGCTGAAAAAAATCTGAAGAAAACAGGGGTGGCTGCTAGTCACTACTGCCAGGGTGGGTCTCAACTGCCAACCTGCTGACTAGTACGTGAATGCTTCATCATTTGTAGCACTTTGAGAACCTGGGGACTCCCAAATGAAAGCTTAAACCAGATCACGTGTTGACCCATCAGTTCTCACTCGTAGGGACCTTCCATCAGGTTCCAAAGGCTGTAAACCTTCAGAGGAAGACACTTCCCATTGTTCTCTCTGGTGGATTTGAACTGCCTGCCCTTTGGTTAGCAGTTTAACTCCTTGTCCACTAGACTATCAGAACTCCCTTAAGTAAGACATACACAGCCTGCAGAAAGATGCAAACCAAAACAACCATGAGATATCATCTCACCCCAACAATAATAGCAAAGTTCAACAAGACAGTAGACAACAAATGCTGGTGAGGTTGTGGAGATTAGAACTCTTATTCACTGCTGGTAGGAATGTAAAGTGGTGCAGCCACTATGGAAAGTGTTCTGGTGCTTTCTCAAAAAGTTGGAAATAGAAATCCCACTTGACCTAGCAATTTCTCTACTGTGAATATACCCTAAAGAAACCAGAGCCACCACTCAAAACAGATGCATCCACACCCACTTTAATTGCTGCATTACACACAACTGCAAAGAGATGGAGGCAACCCAAGTGCCCACCAACAAACGAATGAATAGAAAATCTACGGTACACTCACATAATGGAATATTATGCAACACTAAAAAATGAACTCATAAATTATTACACAGCATAGGTGAACCTGGAGAACATTATGCTTAGTGAAATATCTCTGTCACAAAAGAACAAATACAACATAACACCACTGTTCTAAAAGAGGACAGACGTGGGGAAGTTGAGGAGAGAATAGGAAAAGAGTGAAGAGATAATGAACACTGCATTGGAACAGATGAGGGAAAGAACTGTCTGGAAGGAATATATTAGGCGTGATACGATGACAACAACCTGGAACAAGCGGTGCATTGTGAGGAGTGCTGGGGGAAGTAGAAGAAGAAAAAAATGCAACAAGAAAAAAATTAAAGAAAAACATTTTCTACGTTAAAAAATGTACAGCACTGGATAAAAGTAAATATGGCATACAGAATTCTAAAAAGAATGTGGAAACAGGAAACGGCTTGCAAGGGCTGCTGTGTACCTGGAAGGGCTGTGCCGTGGTGGACCGGACCACAGCCCATGGCCTCCTCCAGTCCACTCGCTGCCCTGCTGGCGGGAGGCTGTTGGTGGACAGTCATCCTGTGATTTTAGCATTTTCTGCTATCAGGAGAAACGAAGGATTTCCAAAACCATCAAGATTGATTCCTTTCAATTTAACAGTTTTCTCAATTTGCATTTTTCCTCTCACACATTTGATTATTTGTAGTGAGAAGAAATCAGGCAGACAGATCATGAGCTCCAGAAGGCACGTTTTTCTGCTTTCACGTAACTGCAGAGATAAGGAGCCCTCTCTGCCCCTTTCCCCAGCACCCTGCTCGCTACTTCCTTCTGAACCCTCCCTGCAGCGTTTTGAAAGTCCAATCTCTGCTGGAAGTCTGCTCAAGGCACTACTCAGAATCCTGTGACCTCCCGCCCACTGCCCAGCTCCGGGGGTACATTCACACTTTTAAGTACTTGCTATGGCAACACCTTACTTCCAGGTGAGAAGAAAAAAATCCATATTTGTTGCAAATTTAGCAATTTAGATACATGAAATTTGGAGCATCTGTCAGCTGCTCTGAAGGAGAAAGATGGACAATGCACTCCTGTGGGATTTATTGCCTTGAAAACCCCCTCCCTGGAGGGTCAGCTATGAGTCAGTCCTGACTGAAGAGAGAGCCAGAAACATCCTGAGGGTCGGGACACTGCTGTGGCTCTGCTAGACACAGACAGTTCTCTGACCCGCTGGGACTCCTTAAGTGATGACCTGCTATCAGCCGACCTCAGGGCAGGGCAGCAGTGTTCACTTAATCACATCGAGATTAGCCAATGGTTGATTTTTAGAAACTCTTCCTTCTTTAAGGTTCATTGTAACTCGCCAGAAAAACTAAACTCAATGCTGTTGAGCCAATTCTGACTCAGAGCCAAGCAGTTTCCAAGGCTTGCAATCTAACCTTTCCTCCAGGGAGCTGCTGCTGGTTTTGAACCTTTGGAGACGTGCATCCTGTTGGTTGGTAGCACAACCTGATGTAATTGTAAGTTGAGTGTGGAGTCAATAAAGACTTGGGGTGACTCTGCACAGATCTGAACATTTTCCAACCCTGTGCCATCTCCAGGGCATCCCTGTCATTAAAATTCTGCCCCCGTCCGATTTTTCAAAAGCAACTGAATGGCCTGCCTTTTATGCCTAGAGGTTAAGAGCTCTGCAAAACTTCGTCTGAATTTGGAATTTGATGGGGGAAAAAAATAAGGCTCTAAAAAGAAGTCTCAAACCCCTACCTCCCCCTTCTTCCCCACCCGCTGAGCAGGGGAAGTAGCTCTTGTTTTAGGTCTAGTGTCAGATACTGGCTGTGCATTTGGTTGATGGTAAAACATGGGTTTTTATGTTACAGTCAAGTGCCCCTTCTATTACATCAGTCGTATAGCCCTGGTGTGTCCACTTGCCACACAGAGGTAACTTGTGGTTGCTGTGATGCTAAACGCTGTGGCACAAATGTGTCAAATGCGTTAATAGTTACCCACGGCGGACAGTGTTTGGTGGAGCTCCCCGATTAAAACAAGCTTGGAAGCAGGAGTGACATCCACTTCCATAACAGCTTGCCTCCAGAAACTCTGTGAACCTGGAGAGAGGGTGAAAGTCATACAAGTGTTGAGGACTTTCGTTCATAGGGTCGCTATGAGTCATCTATGACTCGACAGCACTTAACAACAACACAATTCAAATAAAACCCACCACATTCTTCTTCAGACACCACTGAAGACATCACGCCCCATTTACAAAATGAACCATTTCGGACCACAGCCGAGGTTTGCCTTTTCTTGGTTATTTTATTTAGACGAAGGCCCAAAAGGCGATAAACTGTGCCCCTAACATTGGAACATGTGCTGCAGCGGGTGAGGTAATAATATTGTGCAAATGGACACAAACAACTCATATCAGAAAAATGGTTTACAGTTACAAAACTTACTGCTTCTAAATTAGTACAAGAATCTTCTTTATCATTATTATGAAGATATAAAACCCCGAATTTTACAAGTATTGTTTTTATTTCATTATCTGTATCCTTGTTAAAAGGAGGGCAACATGGTTATTACCAGTGACTGGAACCTCCCCACACCTCCCAGGGAGAAAAATCCTGGTTGTCAGAGCTGATAAAAATGACAGAAGGGCAGGCAGGAGTCAGAACGACTCCCTGGTACACAGTGCAACAATCACTCTTCAACTATGCAGGGATTTAGACATAATATGCTAACCAGGACTCCACCTCCACCCCATGGTATAGCAGGTTAAAAGTTGGTCAGCTAAAAGGCGGGGGCAGTTTGAACCCACCAGGCCCTCTAAAGTGAGAAAGATAAGGCAGTCCCTCCCCATTAAGGTTTACAGTCTCAGAAACCCAGGGAGGGTACCAGGAATTAAGACACAACGGCGAAGGGTTTGGCTTGTCCTTTGGGGGCAAAAACCACAGAGAAAACACCCACAATCCACAATCCAAAGCACTTTAGCAAAAACAGAGGAGGATGTGGTGGCCCTGTGGATCCCTGTGATTTTTGACTGGTGTCCCGGGACATAGGAGCGAAGTGGCAGTGTAAGAAAACATCAGTAACGAAAACTTGCAGCATGACTTCGAAAGACAGCTACCTAGGAGTGGAAGGCCAGTTTGCTCTGTCAACTTTCCCCCACAAGATGCACACAGGGCTGAGTGGAAAGCGGTTCTGCTCTGTAAGCTTTCCCCCAGAATCCCAGGAAGAACTTGAAACCAAAACAGTAACTTCAAAACCCAGTCAAAGAAATAAAAAGCCAAAGCTGGCCGCAGCAACATAATTTTGTTTTCATGCAACTTACAGAGGCAGAAACGGCCTAGAGTAAATGACAAAGTCGCTGTAGGCCTGGTGGGTTCTCCCCCCTTCCCGAGACACAATATGCCTTTTCAAACCAAAGCTAGGAGTGTGCCCCACCACTTAGCTACGCGAATACCTATATTTAGCGATTGCTGCTGGCGATACAGTGCTGGCCTGGGAGGGGAAGGCCTCGCGGCACTGAAACCTGAGTCTCTTACGCTCCACAGTCCCTTTGGAATCTCGGGGTCACTCGGGAGGTCTCTGTCCCAACAGAAACCAATCCATTCGCGAAATCCACCCGAAGACAAGGGCGTGGTCTCTCCGTCCGGGGACAGGGGTTCCTGGGGGTGCGGGTCTGTTGTCAGGACACTGTCCGAGGTAAAGCTGGGAAGTTTTCACTGAGGATGGAAGGCCTGCGGGCAGCTGAAGCTTTGGGAGTTAGAAGCAGAGAAGGCGGGCATTCGCCCAGCGAGCACTTGAAGGCACCGAGGAGGGGTCCGCGCAGCGGGATCACCGGCCACGCGTGTCAGCCGATGAACCTTTCCGAGGGCCACGTGTCGTGGACCAGCTGGGGGGCGGCCGGGACCACGGGCTGGGCGGGGGCCAGCGCTTCCATCTCGCGCACGATGAGCGTGAAGACCCGGTCCACCATCAGCTTGCTCTTGGCCGTGACCTCCAGGAACGGGCAGCGCCACTCGCGGGCCAGCGCGCGGCCCTGCGCCGTCAGCACCTGGCGCTGGGCGTCGCGGTCAGCCTTGGTGGCCACCAGCACCTGTGGGGCGACCCGGGACCCGCGCAGACTGACCAGGCGGTCTCGCATGAGCTTCACGGCCTGGAACGAGGAGTCGCTGTCCACGCTGTAGAGCAACACGAAGCCGTCACAGTTTTGCATGTACAGGTCGGTGAGCGTGACCAGGTGCGCGGCGCCCACCGTGTCCAGGATCTCCAGCAGCGTGGGCACCGAGTTCACCTCGATCACCTTGCTGAACAGGTCCTCGACGGCCGGCTCGCAGTGCGTGGGGAAGGTCCCGCAGGCGAACTGCGTGGCCAGCGCCGTCTTGCCCACGGCCGCGCTGCCCAGGAGCACCACGCGGTAGCCCTTGTCCGGGCGCGACACCAGCCCAGCCATGGCCGCCATGAGGGGACGCGGGTGGGCGGGGGGAGAGGGACGGGGAGGAAGAGGAGGGGACGCGGGAGGGCGGGGACCAGCCTGCGAAGGGGCCGGGAGGGCGGGGCGCGCGAGGAGGGCGGGCGCGGGGCCGGATGGGGGTCCGAGCGGGGTTGGTGCGCGCCAGTGTCCAGTCCCTGGTCCCGCTCCTCCGTCCCCTCGTCACCCTCCCATCCTGCCACCTAGGCGGAAGCCGAGTCCAGAGGCCGCGTCCCCGCCCCTCCGCGCGCCACCCCCGCCGGGGGCCTCCTGCGCCTCTGCTGGGCCTGCACCCGGGGTCCCCACCGAGCACCACCTGGGACTGGCGCCGAGCAGGCTGCGTCCCTCCCCAGGGGGCTCCCCGAGGCCAGGCCTGAGCAGGTCAGCCCGGGAATGCGGGTGTCCCCGCCATCTCGGGTCAGTCTGGTGACCAGTGGCCAGGCTGGCTCCGCTCAAGGTCAGACCCGACTGGACCACTTAGGTGGGACCCGTTTTGCGGCAGGGGGGACCCCAGGTTCAAGGCTGGTGAGAGATCCATGTCCGGCAGCTTCAGACCAAGGACCCCAAGTCACTGGGGGAAACCCCTGGGTGCCCTGGGTACTCCACGCTGGCCCTCTAGCTCCCCTCTCCTGGATCTTTATGCACTGTCAGTGACGTGGCACTCTGCAGGTAAACCTTCCAGGTGAAATCAAGCCTGCAGTTCTGCTGCCTGGGAGCTTGCAGGTTGGAACACCCCCAGAGGCTCTGAGCAAAGAGGACTGGCCGTCTGCTCTCACAATGGTTACTGCTCAGAAAATTGTTACGGTGGTTTTACCCTGTCCATCTGAGGGCACCTAATGGCCCAGGGTCAGGGTGACCACCTCTGAGGGTGGAAGGGCTCTCTGATCAAGTACAGGCTCCCAGAGGAAGACCCTGGGTGACCGGCGCTCTATAAGCACTGTCCAGGCTGTTCTGCCCCCTCCACTCTCCCTCTGGTTCAACTCTCCCAGACACAAGCTTGTCGCCTTCCTTGAACCCAGAGGAGGACAATGGGAGATGAACAAACACAGCAGGACCTTAGGGCCCCCTCAGGCTGTGCTGAGAGGGGACACCACTGTCCATGCGCTTTCCCTGTGTTGGGCTGTCAGTAAACTCTCTGCTGTGGGACAGCTTGGTGGGGCAGTGTCCAGTGTCCCCGAGTCTGGACATCCTGCCTTTCCAGCAGCACAGGTGTGGAATTGGGAGTCATGTGAAGGCCAGACAGGAGAGGCCGCATCCTCCATGTCCATGTCTGATCACGCAGAGTTTATAAAGAGGGTATAGGTCATCCTCAGTACAAAATGCCACCCTTTCTGTCTACTCTCCAGTCACCTCTAAGCTGCAGCGACTCCTGTGACGGTGTTTTAAGTGCCCCCTAGGGCTTCCCAAGCTCCAGTCTTTAATGGAGCCCACTAACAGGTATTTGTTCTGCCTCTTCCTGGAAGGTCACAATCTAAAACCTTTCTGTTCACAGCTGATGGCTTAACTTTCAGACCATCAGGCTCTTTCAGTGTATATGTTGTTGTTAGGTGCCGTCAATTTGACTGTGACAGAGACCCTATGGAAAACATAAAAAACTTGTCCTTTCCTGAGCCATCCTCAAGGTCACTGCCAAGTTTATCTATCTATCTATCTATCTATCTATCTATCTATCTATCTATCTATCTATCTAATCATGGCTTAATGGTAAGAAATACGACTGCAACCCCAGGGGTACACAGTTTGAATCCACCAGCTGCTCCATGGGAGGAGAATGGGAATCTCCTCTTGTGCATTTACTGCCTCTGAAAAACCTGTGGGAGGGTCAACTGTGAGTCAGTTCCAACTCAACGACACCTCCCCACCCCCCCACCGCAGTGACACACATGAACTCTGATAACACAGTCTATAGGGAATTACACAGCTAACCTAAAGTTTGTTGTTTGTTGTTGATTGTCAACAAGTCGAGGTCGACTCACAGGGATGCTATGAACAAAAGACCTAATGCCTTTACATAACTATTGTTGTTTCTCCAAGTTTATAGAGTTTCCAGAGGCATGTGGTTTAGGAAGTGGATGCCACTCCTGCTTCCCAACCTGTTTTACAACTGGGAGCTCCACCAAACAATGTCCACATTGGGAAACCATTCTGGTATTTGATATCCCCATGGCACAAGGTTCAGCATCACAGCAAACCCAGGTTACCTCATACAGCACATTGACAAAGAGTGATGTGCAAAGTGGAAGACTCTTCCTCCAGATATAATAGCACTAGTCTTGTTTAGCCGTGTTTAAGTGTTGTCAAGTCGAATATGACTCAGAGCATTTTGCACAATAGACCTGAACTCCGTTCTATAATTAACATCATTTCTGTACATTTATAAGAGAGTTTGTAGAGATTCCAGAGGCATCTAGTTTAGGAAGTAGATGCCACTCCTGCTTCCCAACATAAATCAATCTGGAAGCTCATCCAAACACTGTACATAATAGGTAACCATTATGGTATTTGACATGACTATGGAATAGTGGTCAGCATCACAGCAACTCCAAGTTGTTCAGTTGTTGTTGTTGTTGTTGTTATGTGCCGTCGAGTCGTTTGCGACTCATAGCGACCCTATGTACAACGGCCCTAAACCGTGCTCTATCCTGTGCCAATCTCATTGCCTCTGACACACCCATCCCGATTACCCCAGTCACTGAATCAATCCACCTCATAGAGGGTCTTCCCCTCCTGCGCTGTCCCTCCACTCTACCCAGGATGATGTCCGTCTCTAAAGACCTGTCTCTCCTTACAACATGTCCAAAGTATGTCAGGCGAAGCCCCAGAATCCTTGCCTCCAAGGAGCAGCCTGGCTTAACCCTCTCTACGATGAATCCGTTTGTTTTCTTGGCAGTCCATGGTACATTCAATACTCTTCTCCAGCACCACAGCTCAAAGGCGTCAATTCTCCTTCTATCCTCCCTAGTCATTGTCCAACTCTCTGATGCATAACAAGTGACTGCAAAAACCATGGCCTGTATCAGACACACCTTAGTCTCCAGAGAGACACCATTGCTCTTCAGTACTTTAGAGAGCTCCCTAAACAGCAGACTTTCCCCTCGCAGTACGTTTTTTGATTTCCTGGCTACTGGTGCCAAGAGTGTTGATCGTGGAGCCGAGCAAATTGAAGCTGTGAACAATCTCAATCTCTTCGCCATCTATCCTGATGCTACCGATTGGTCTGGTGGTGAGAATTTTTGTCTTCTTGACATTGAGCCTTAGTCCATTTTGAAGGCTGCAGTCCTTGACCCTCTGCAGTAAGTGCATGAGGTCCTCCTCAGTTTTGAAGTTGTTCAGTACAGCAAACAAACAAATGATTGCTCTGTCTTTTAAAGAATATTCTTCTAAAATTAATAAATTTGGTCTGAGGGCCTGCAGGGCCGCAAGCCAGTTGACTTCCAGAGTGGAGGGAGACTTCCAGTCCCCAGGCCCCAGGCCAGTGCAGAGACCCATCCCCTTATCATTGATTTTAAAGCCACACCCTTGAGCAGGTCTCCACCCTTACCCTTAGTCTAAGGCTCAAGGACCACCCTCTTTTGAGGGGGGAAAAAGCAGTAAAACACAACAAAAAGGACCTCAGAAACTTCCCTTGCCTGACTGCCATCAAGATGAGACCACCATCGAGATGCCAGCCACCCTTAGGAATTAAGCAATTATATATATATATATATATATAAAATTTATATATTTTTTCCCTCTTACTTGAAGCTTTTTTTCCCTTGTTTTTCTCTTTCCCCCCTTCTTTCTTTCTTGAAGATTTAATGGAGCAACATTCTTTGAATTCTACTCCAAAGTTCCTGCACTAAGTCCCCATAGCATTTAGCCATATGACCCTTCATACCAATGGGATTTGTTCTGTTGACAGTTCAAATCTACCAGCCACGACCCCATAGGACAAAGATGGGCAGTCCTATCCCTTGCCACTTACAACCTCTGAAAACCCCCTGTTGGCTATGAACTGGATCTGACTCAATGACAAGGTTGTTATGTGCTGTTGAGTATGACTCAGAGTGACCCTATGAACCACTGAGCTGAACCCTGTATGGCCGTGTGCCATCCTCATCATCTCTGACACACTTGAGCCCATTGCTGTAGTCACTGTGTCTGTCCATCTCATCGAAGGTCTTTCTTTCTGAGCATGATGTCCCTCCCCTAGGAATAGCCTCTCCTTCAATGTACCCAAAGCATGGGAAATGAAACTTTGTCATGTTTGCCCCAAGCAGTGTTTTGCCTTGCACTTGCCCTAAGACATATCTGTTTGTTCTTTTGGCAGTCCATGGGATATTTTGTACTCTTCTCCAACATCAATTCTTCTTCTGTCATCCTTATTCATTGTGCAGCTCTCAGATGCATAGCAAGTGATTGAAAAGACAGTGGCCTGAATCAGGTACACCCTACCCCTCAAACTGACATCACTGCTCTTAAGTGATTGGAGAGGTCACTAGAGCTCCACATATTTATATTACACACACACACACACACACACACACACACACACACACACACGTATAAATAAAATCTCATTGCAGCCGAGTCTGAACTGATTTACAGCTGACACTTCAATAGGTTTTACTGCCTCTGAAAACCTGCTGGAGGTCAGTCCTATTTGATGGCACATAACAGCAACAAGTAGGTTTCAGAGGCTGTGAATTACGTGGGAGGAGGTTGCCCATATTTCTCCCTCAGAGCCACAGGTGGATAGGAACCACCAGAGAGGCATCACTTTTTAAAAAAAAAATTATTTTCTTATTTTTGTGCATGTACCGTCAACTCAGATCTGACTGGTACAGAAGGAGATTGTCTCTCCTCCAGCAGAGCATCTGGTGGATTTGAACTGTGCACCTTTGGGATTGCAGTGCAGCTTCTTGCCACTAGGCCACCCCAAGGCATCATTTTTGGGTTAACAGTACAACTCATTATGAACTACACCATTAGAGGCGCGCGCG